TTGTAAAATACAAACACAATTTTCAATTGATTTGGTAGAGGATATAGTAACATTAATTCCTGAAATTAAAATTTGATTTCACATCTGTTTTTTAAGATTAAGTTGCTTATAGACATAATTTTAAGTGTTGGCATAAAAATGTTATGAACATTGAATATTCACTCTCTGATTTGTAAATAATAAAAAAAAATTATACTGTTAAATTGATTTTGTTAATGGGATATTATTACCTCTGTTAGCATAAGTACTTTAATCAGTTTTAAAATATTTCCTAATTATATATTTTATATATGTATATAACTAACAAATAATTGATAATTTTTACGGATAATAATATTATTACAACATGCAACTAATTTTGATATTTTGCAAACAGTAAATTTAAGTTCTATGAAAAACCAATTTTCCATGTTTTTGCAATAAAAGGGTGCTATTTGTTCACGTTTAACAGACCTTTGCATTTAAGAGTACTTGAGTAAAAGTACATTAACATTTTATCCTATGTATTTTTTTTTTGAGCTGACAAACTTTTACTAACATATTTTAAATTAAGAAACATGCTGTCTTATAATGGGATACAATTTCCGTTTAGAAAAATACATTGTGTTAAATGTTACCTGTAAAACAGATTGTAATTGCTTTACTTATAACTTGATGGTGAGAAAAGATAACGATAAGAGATTTAGTTTATTTCATATAACTTTACTATTCAGTACGATGTTAAAGATCAATTAAGAGAAATATTTGTGTCTTTATATGTATCTTTTTACTTACATTTGTTCTAACGTTGTAATAAAAATTACTTTGATGTATATAAATTGTACACTGTTTCTGATGGATATTCTTAATAAAACGCAGGTTGTTAAAATATATGTCTTTTTTTACCCAACCCACTTTATTGTACAAAACGAAATCTTTATATTTTTACAAATTTTTTGTTAACTTAAAGCATAAGTATTATATTTACAGTATTTGTTTAGAGTAAGTGTTATACAGAATACAACAATAGATACAGTTAAAAATTTACAATATATGAAGTATGATCATGTTTCAATTACCATCATATTAACAACACGTTGTACAATATTAGTAAATGAATATTTAGTGAATACATTGCTAACATCATACATTTACAATATATTAACAGAGATGACATGTTTAAATTGCAACGATATTGAAGCAATTGATTTTCATAACTTAATTCAACCTTAGTGAATACATAGCAGAATTATATTTTTACGATACGTGGCTAAGATATCTTAATATGTTTGAGGGATTGCACTGTTTAGCTTTCATTCGTGGCAAATTCTAATTCCACACTAATTTTCAACTTAAATTTTTAAGCAATGTTTTGTTTCTAAATTTATACAAACTACAGGTAACAGTTACAGTGTGTACATGTTATCCAGTAATATATCATTTTAACTACGTTTACCAAACGTGCGATATTATGAAACGCATTGTCAGTTAAAAACATTTAAACACATACTTCTGTGGTCCTACAAGCACAAATATGTAAAACTATCTAAAGATGTAAGCTCCTATTTTTGTTGCTTTGAAACCTAGTTGAATGTATACATGCAGTATTATACAACTCCAATAAAACACCAATGCTCGGTGATAAATAACAAACTTTAATGGAATTCATCCTAATACATTTATTGAGTAGGAAAAACAAAATACAAGTTTCTTAAACTATGGTATCATCGCAATGACATTATGTTCACAAAACATCATAACAAGATATCTTAAACCTGGTAATTGTTCAAATTAATCTTAATAAGTTGACATTAGTGGTTGGTTTCTTTATTTTTGTGTCTAGCCAAATAAAACAATGAACTTCATCAAGAAATTATATAACAACTAGTGTTGTATTACACTTGAGTAGGAGTATATTTGCACAACCTGCAATAACAGAAATAGTTTCAAATACTGGCTTATAATATCACGCAGGTTGATGAAAATTTATTAGGGTAGCAAATAGTATATTTCGTACCTAGGGCCGAAAATGAGGTTTTGCCGGCTCGAGATAGTTTTTAAGTTCGAGACGAAGTCGAGAACTTAAATCGATCGAGAGCTGCAAAACCATTTCGGTCCGTGGTACGAACGCTATTTTTCACCACACTATACCCTATTACCACTATTCACCACTATAATAATGCACACTGATCGTCAACACAACTACAACTTTAAGGTTATGTGAAGAAATAATTTGAGGAATCAGCAAAAATATAAATAAATAGTTGCTAGGCAACGGTGACAATAACACAATTCTATATTGCAATGCTATGGATTTTGATTGTGTATTTAAAACGTATTCATGTTTTAATTAAGTAAGCGGACAGCTGATTTTGCGGCCCCGGCCTGTAAAAACCTGCTCGGTCCCCAAATTGGCGACAGCTGGCATGGCCAGCAAAACGTAACTTTCAGCCACCAATTAACGTATGTAATACAGCCAAAAACATCATAGTGTGGTGAAAAGTATTTTTCGATTACTTGACACATTTCATTTGTGACATAAAAAAAACACATTTTCTATAAAATTTGTACTTAAAATAGTTGTAGATGGACATGGCAGCAACTTTCAAGCGGTATTGAATATATTTCTTCAAATAATGATGTTTTATTAGCTTAGAATATAGTTTTTAGCGAATATATGAGTATTTATCATTTCATCATGTTCATATACTATTTCTTTTTATTTAATTTAGTTTCTGATTAAATTATTATAACATAAAATATAATCTAAAAATATTTCACACTAATATAATCCTCACACCCTCATTAATCTACATCAACTCAATATTTGTTTGCCAATTTTTTTTTACTCTTCGAAACAGCTCTCACTTTCTATAGTGATGAGAAATTCAGTAGCCTCAGGCGTGCACTATTTATAGATCCCCTTGAGGTCCCAGCCTAACAAAGCTACATTCATCCATGCGGATCCATGCGGATCCATGGATCATAGTATCCCCAAGCAACCCCCTGCACTTCCCCCTACTTAAGAACTACAACTTTCACGTACAGTACTGTAATATTGTTTATACTAAGCTTTCACCTCTTCAATTGTTTTTGTTCACCTCTGTGATTGTTTTATGCATTACCCGTTTTAATTAAGATACGTTTATTTATTTAAAATTTCTTTACCCGTAATTTCCATTAATGATTTGCCTGATTTTATTATTTGGTACGAATGAAAGGTAGGTGACAAATACATTTTCCATAGAGAGAAACGACTCAGAATATTCACCGTTATTGGACAATAACAAAATATATTACACTCAAAGTGATTACTTTTCACACCGCGGGAAATGCTTCATTCAGCCAAGGATGGTCCCCCTCATAACTGAAGGAGCAATTCTGTAGACTGTGCTCTTCCACCGACACATAAATATCCGCTTTTTGTAATGGAGTGGAGTGGAGTAGAATGGTAGAATGTAGCGAAACGAACGGATTCTTTCAAACAAATCTATAAATAATATCCGGAAACGTGTAAGGAGCGGAGGAGAGGGCGAGTATATATAGAGACAATGTGTCGGCTCCTATAGGTATACTCTGGACTAAACTGTTGAGCTCCATTTGATATCCCAACTGACGTCACGATCGAGGTATCGATAATACCTTTGGTTTTTGTACAAATTCGGATTACGTTCTGTTACGTTTGTTTTGTTCACTATGTTGAAGGACAAAGTTAAGTTACTGGAGCTGTTTATCTGGATATAAAAGCTCAATGATCAAGCACAGATATACTAGGTTCAGATTTAAACAATCAAACAACAGAACTACTTAATATATTCTTCAAGATCTGTGTAAAACGGACCCATCCCATCACTTTATACACCAAAATGAAAATAACAGGACATGGTTCAGTACTAGGAAGAAACTCTATAGCGTAAAGTAGGTCCTCGTAGACCCAGCGACCCAGGAATTTATTGGTATGTTTGTAAGTCTAGCAGGGCCAATATGCTTCCAAAGTTGTGAGCAAAAGATTTGTGCTCTAAATTAAAATAACTGATAGTTAAAACCAATTATTCGTGTAGTAGACTGTTAATCTTTCATTGACAAAATCTACCGTCAGGTCGGCTAAACAAGAAGTACTAAAACCCGACTTGCCAATCACTCAGAACTCGGACGATGCATGCGTCCCGAGGATTTAGTTTCATAGTTTATGAATCTGTCTACAAAAGGGAGAAGACAGGAAATGCAAACAAATGTCAAATTCTCAATCGTGAAGATACATTGCTATTGCTAACGACCGATAACACTGTGGTCGCGGGCGCACTGTTTGTCTTTTGCCCAACACTTCATACGGATACAACTGGTATTAATGCAATGTGGTTTCTGTCATCACCCAATAATAACAAAATAAATACAAATAACTTAAATAAACAATAAACTTAAACTGTAAATTGTTTAATGATTAGCCAACCATCGGAACAGTGAAAACCCGTGAAACTCGCATTTTAAAAGCTTATCGAAAACATAAACATAGCGATACGTGAACAGTCCAAGGATTTAGTTTCATAGTTTAGGAATTCGGCTACAAACAGAAGAGAACAGTGAATGCGAACTAATGTGGAAACGTTGTGATGAAACATTTCAACAAATTATCAAATTCTTAGTACTCTAGTAGTTGCTCTGATGATAGTTCTGCTGTGACATGAGCGCACTCTATCGGGTCAATGGCTAACATCCCCATGTTAAAGTTGTCGCCAGTTTTTAAATCGAAATCGTCGTAGTTATGCGAGCTACCGATAGATTATGTTTATCTACCTTCGTAATGTTTGTGGAATAAACGAACCTGTTTACCAAGTCAAACTAAGTTATTATGACCTATAGCAACTCAGTTCAGTGTACCCCATCAACTTGATCAGTAACAAACAGATAAAGTAGGAAATATAACTGTAGACACTAGCGCGTTCTGTGATTTGCTCACAAAACTATGCTATTATTCAATAAAAAGTTGGGATTGTAGGTAATGTTGGTAGTTGGTCACTCACCCAGTGAACTCTCCGGGTCAGAAAGGTCAGACAAGGACGGCACCTTCTGCATGGCACCGCCACAGGACTCGCCCTCGTCCAGCTGCTCCTGCTTGATCCTGGGCACGTCATCTTCTACCAGGAATTTCTGTAAACAAATAGAGCTGACTGTCAATACATTCACAAGGATGGACAAGGCAGCATCATCAGGTTGCACAAAACCTATTTTTAAAGACCCGTGCTTCGCAACGGGGATAGACTAAATGCGGTTCTTTAGATCTGCCTATGAAATACAGAAGCACATCTATGATTCATATTAAAAAGAAAACACAATGTTACCACTTAGTTAGCTAAAACTCTTTTCTTAGCTTAAATGCTATTCTAGGTTGTACGACAACATAAGAGCCTCTTTTACACTCTACTAGATTACTAGATTGTAGGGTGTAAAAGAAGCTCTTATGTTGATTATTTTAAATATTGCAACTAAGAGTTAACTTAAAAATACGCTTACTTAAAAGTAATCGTCAGTTCAAAACCAAACTTATGTTACTGGATACAAAATAATCGAACCCTTTATTTAAGTGTAGCAATGCAATAGATTACTTCATATTTATGCCACATAAGATACATATACGGTAGGCCTATTTTTTAAATGTTAGTCAAGCCTCTTTGCCTGTTGCTTAATTCATAAATTTCACATAAAACCATTAGCAAAATTCTACAAAACCGTTACTACATTTTGTTAATAGATTACATCCATCTCAAATAACACAAATGTTCAAAATTTAAATTAAACCCAAAAACATATTTTCAAACCGCTATCTTACGCTAAATAAAACAAACAGCGGTAAATTACATTCAAAAATTAATTAAATATTGTAAACTTTAAATGTATTTAAGGTGGCGCACTTAGGAAATCGGCCAGTGGGGTTGAGCCCTAAGAATTCGTTCACACCAATAATTTTCGGCAATTCTACACACTCTACGCATCATTTTTCTTTGTGATGTGCCAATATTGTTGATTTGTCAATGGCCTTAAGCAATGGGCACAAATCTGACCTTATGACTCGAATGTTATGTTGTGTAGCCTACCAGGGGAAACTAATCATTGTTCCGAGTTGTTTAATGTTTAGGGAGGTTGTCCAAGCCGCTACAGTTTCATGCTAAGCCAATAAATTTCAATGATAAATCAACTCTAATAAAATATATGGAATGTATTATAAAACTATTTCAAATAGTTACTATATGCTGTGCATAAAAATTCCGAAATACTCTAAATGTATGGTTTTAGCCTGGAAAATATGGTTACAAGGCTAGGGTTCTAGGGGGTGACTAGGGTTTGCGAGACAACAAAATGTTATGGCATTTATTTTAAGCTATAAAGGATATGCGTTATGTTATGCGTTAACAAGTGTCAAGGAATTCGTTTTTAAATTAATTTTTTCTTAGTTGTAACTCGCTGTAACTCATAAATGAGTAGTTTTGGAGAAAAAAATGCCAAGAGTAAAAACGTTTTAAATGGCATTTACTTTCTAAAAAATGCATAAAATATTACGGCTATAGAAGAAGAGGGCTCTGTGAGGCGGAGTGACATCATTGTTATAGACAAGGAGAAAGATTTCGGTCTCATTATAGACCCAACAAATTCATTCAACAACAAACAAACAAATTCATCTGAACAGATTCGTCTTGAGACAAATCAATATCAGCCACAGGAAGTCCATGAAGAAAAAGTAAATATTTATAAGAAAACTATCCCCTATTATTCGGAGAAATACAAAATATCAAAATTTAAAGTATATGGACTACTCATTGGATCAAGAGGAACAATTCCTCAACAAGTTGAGAAATTTTGGAAGAAATTCAATTTGGAAAATCAAGTGCTATATTTAATATCTTTAACAGCCATAAAATTTCCTATTAATATTATAAGAAACCACCTATATAACAATTATCATAATTAGGTTTAAACAAACTTGCAAAATTTAATGTAATATTATTCTTTGTTCTACAGCAGACTACAATGTGTAGTAAGATTTCAATTTTTAAAATAAATTTGAATTTATATTCTTAAATAAAATAAAATATAAGTTTGTATATATATTTGAAAGTTATGAACTCCGAAACCGCTCGACAGATTGTAATAAAACTTTCAGACATTATTATACAATATTCAAGAATGGTTTGTGTGAAGTTTGGTGCAGATCCGTCAAAAGGACTCCGCCCCAGTGGCTCTGGAGCTTTCCCATGTAAGGCGGGGACACACTTGTCATACACCCTTCCGATCCGACTCCGATCATACTGCGGTACGACTGTCGGAGAGGGGAATGGTACATAACATTGAACGCAGTTGTTTACACCTCTCCGACACGCGTCACGTCATACTCCGATCCTACTCCGATTTTGACTCCGATCACGCACCGACACTGCAGTCTATTCGTTTGTCGGATGCAGGACGGGTAGTTTCTTAAAAATAACCTTTATTCTTAAGGTTTAGGAACAATGGTTTAAGATAAATATATGCCGATGCTTGATTTGAAATCTGTGCGTGCATACCTTCAATTGGAGACCTCAATCATGAAAATCGGACGGGTAGAAGAGCTAAACGAACTCAGGAGAGAAAAACCTATAATATATATAATGGGCACTTCTGCTTTCCTTCCATGCAGAATGGACCCAAATTCTCCGTTTTCCACTGCCCTCCAGAGATGTCTGACTTTCTTCATCTAGACAAACCGCCATCATGGCTAAATCCTGAATACAAAATTTTTGGACATACAGTATTTATCACCTTCTGCACGTAGTTTACGTTTACGAATCAGACTGGCGAGTGTTGATCTACCCGGTGGAGGAAATCGGAGATGGGTCGCCGGTTCGGAAGCGTGTATGACATGTGTGTTCACCCCCTCCGATCCCGCACCGATCCTTCTGGAATCCCGCAAATCGGATCGTAGTAGGATCGGAAGGGTGTATGACAAGTGTGTCCCCGCCTATAAGGTTAGAGTACTCATATTTAAATGGAATTAAAGAATCTTGAACGTACGAGTGAATCGTGGTTAGCCCACTTCTTTGTCACTTACTACCACAGGCACAGGGTAACACGTGAAAACGTGCTTGGTCTATGTTGTGATTTACTTTACTCAGCGCACATGTTATGTAGTGAGTGAATGGGAGCGAGCTAGTAACATGAATGGCTCGTGTACGTGTCTATAAGTGTGTGTGTGCGTGAGTGTGTGTGTGTGTCCAGGTAGGAGGCGAGTGGGCAACTCGTCCAGACACAGCGAGGTCACTCTGACCCGCCCTGTTCCTTACCTTACCTCCCTCAGACTGCTGATAACCATACGGAACTGACGGAACTAGCATCATGGGCTACTAAACATGCATAGACTGCTCTAAACAAAATGCAAGATGAACACTTCAGAAGAAAGAGCATTAGTTGTTTACTGAAACTAGTGATACCTAAAACTGGACCTAGCTGTCATTCATCATTGGGGGTTTTTTATTGTCCTGGCTAACAAACAACTGGTCATAGTCAGTAACAACTTTCCAAAATAGTACTGTATAACTCCGTTCTACATTCATCCATAGTCCATATTCAGATTAAAATAAACCACTGCGTACGTCACTTTCTTAAAGAATTGAATTGAATGAAATAAACGCCGGTACTGTACTAGTACAGAATAACTTTCCCTTCGCTCGAAGGCCACTAACCAAGATTGTATGAAAGTGTGTTTTAAAATATTGAAACAAAGTCTTAACAAGAGCTTGTTATGGTTATATTCTCCTTAGAGCTACGAATATCTGTGTATCCCCTATGATCGTTGAGTCAGCTAGGTCTAAAGAAATAATTCATGCCAATCATCCAATGACAATTCAATGACACTTCCATTCAGCTTATCTCGGTATTTACACATGCACAACGAAATACATGCAAACGAATCCGTCGCAACCGTTACTTACCTGAACATTAATCATCACACACAACAACATTGTTATAAAAAAAAAAACAAAAAAAACACACACACACAGTTTCTGTTCATTCCCTGCGGCTTTTTACAACACCTTCCAGGTCTTCAGAGTTTATGCAGAAGCAAAATGCCAGCAACCTCTAATTACTAATACACACACGGTCTTTCTCTTTATCTGCAGAAGAAATGTCATAAGTGATACGAACTGTTCTCATTACTTGGGACAGGGTGCTTTACTTTCTACAATATGCTTGCATAATGATTAATGTAAAGTAACAGTCGAGTCAATTAATTGACACTTGATCGTTCTGTACAAAAGCTACATGTCCTGGTTACTGGTTGCTAAGTATTAGTATAGGCTTACTAAAATATTACGTGTCTGAAATAGCTGCGAAGAAACAGAACCCTTACCTCGGAACAAACGTCAAAGTGTTGCCTAAGCTTATTTGAAACTCAGATGAACCGAACCTGCATATCTTTCGACGGAGGAGTTGCACGGTGGGGTCATCTGTCCTACATTACTATAAGGCCCCTATTACACGAGGTAGCCTGGCGACGTCGCCAGCGACCAAACTGGCTACTCAGCTTGTCATGGGGCATTGATTCTTATGGATGTTATTACACGAGGGTAGCCAGCGACGCAGCCACACTTTGGCGACCGACTGGCTACCGAGCCCCGTCGCCACTGTGGTAGCCACTGGCTACCCATATTGGCGACGCTGCGTTGTAGCATATGGAGCTTATTACACTAGGTCGCCAGTATCACGTCGCCACTCGGTTAGTTCATATCACGGGGGTACTTGCTCACTGTTGTGTTGCGTTCTGCTGTGTTGTGAGTGTGTGAATTGTTCACTTCAGTTGATAAAATGTCTATATCATCCTTTATGACTCGAAGAAACTGGATTGTGACATACGAAAATAATTGAAACATTTTTTATTGTCCGCACAGAGCTCATCAAAAAGGGTGTAATATAACCCTTTTGATTCTCTTACACTAAGCATTGGATGAACGTACATTTTTCTCTTCCTTTGCCTCCTTTTCTTCAGAAGTAACAGAAGGAGAAGATACTTATAATCACTCATTATTCACTGTAAACACCGCTCATAACAAGTACAAGTGCAAGACAAGCACTCACAACAACGGCGCCACGGCGGTAAAATTCTGGCTACTCAACTGGTT